ACATCAACAATGAACTAGCTGAAAAATAAATCAAGAACAAAATCCCATTTATGACAACTACAACATAAAATGTAAACATAAAATACCTAGGAATAAATTTAGCCAAGGAGTTGAAAGACCTCTACAAGGAAAACTATGAAACGCTGATGAAAAACAATTGAAGAGGGCAAACAAATATAGACATCACTTGCTCATAAATTGGAAAAATTAATATTATTAGAATGACCATACCACCCAAAGCAAACTACAAATTCAATGCAAACCCTAAACCAATTACATTCTTCAAATAAATAGAAAAAAAATCCTAAAATCCATATAGAACCACAAAAAAACTCAAATAGCCAAGGCAATACTAAGCAAAAAGAACAAAGCTGGAAGGCATCACACTACTTGACTTGAAAATATACTATAAAGCTATAGTAACCAAAACAGCATGGTACTGGTATAAAAGCAGACACATAGGCCAATGCAACAGAACAGAGAATCCCCAAATGAACCCATATATCTACAGCCAACTGATTTTCAACAAAGATGACAAGAACATACATTGGGAAAGAACAACCTCTTCAAGAAATGATGCTGGGAAAACTGGATATTCTTATGCAAAAGAATGAAACTAGACTGCTATCTCTTGTCATATACAAAAATCAACTCAAAATGGATTAAGGACTTAAACATAAGACCCCAAACTATAAATCTACTAAAATAAATCACAGTGGAAATGCTTCAGGGCTTTAGTCTAGGCAAATATTTTATAGCCAACACTTTCAAAGCACAGACAACAAAACCAAAAACAGACAAATGAAACTACATTAAACTCAAAGCTTCTGCACAGCAAAAAATTCAACCAACAGAGCAAAGGGACAACCTGTAGAATGGAAGAAAATATTTGCAAACTATTTGTCCAACAAAGGATTAGCATCCAGAATATACAAGGAACTCATATAAGAGCAAAAGAAAAACCACAAAACAATAATCCTATTAAAAACTAGACAAAGTATCTGAGTAGACATGTCTCAAAAGAAGACGTACAAATGAGCAATAGGTATATGAAACGATGCTCAACAACATTCATTATCAGGGAAATGCAAATCAAAACCATGATGTGGTATCATCTCACCTCAGAATGGCTATTAAAAAAAAATAAATGCTGGTGAGGATGCAGACCAAAGGGAACTCTTATACACTGTTGGTGGGAATATTAATTAGTACAGTCATTATGGACAATAGAATGGAGGTTTCTTAGAAAACTAAAAACAGAACTACCATATGATCCAGCAATCCCACTACTGTGCATTTATCGAAAGGAAAATAAATCAGTATATCAAAGGGATATCTGCACCCTATGTTTATTGCAGTACTATTCACAATAGTGAAGATATGGAATCAACAAGTGTTCTTGAATGGATAAATAAAGAAAATGTGATATATATACATAATAGAATACTACTCAGCCATAAAAAGAGTGAAATTCTGACATTTGCAGCAATGTGAATAGAACTGGAGGTCATCATGTTAAGTGAAGTAACCCAGGCAGTGAAAGACAAATATTGCATGTTCTCATTCATACATGGGAGCTCAAAAGGCTGATCTCATAGACGTAGAGAGTAGAGTGATAGTTACCAGAGGTTGGGAAGTGGTGAGGCAATGAAGAGAGGTTGGTCAGTGGCTACACACAGATAGAAGGCTTAAGTTCTAGTGTGTGATAGCACAATAGGGTGACTATAGATAGCAATAACTTATTGTATATAGTCATGCACCACATAATAACTTTTCTGTGAATGATGGACCACATACGTGATGGTCCCATAAGATTATGCCAGACCTGAAAAATACCTGTCTAGCGACATCTTGATGATACCAAGTTTGTGTAGGCCTAGGCTAATGTATGTGTTTGTGACTCAGTTTTTTAAAAAAAAGTTTTAAAGTATTTTTTTTATAAAGCTAAAAATAGGAAATAGTTTACAGAATAAGAATATATTTGTACAGTTATACCATGTGTTTGTGTTTTAAACTAAGTGTTATTACAGAGTCAAAAAGTTAAAATGAGTTAAAAGTTAAAAAATTAAAAGCTTTTAAGTTTATAAACTAAGTTTAGTTTATAGTAAGATCAATTTATTGTTGAAGAATTATAAAGTAAATTTAGTGTAGCCTAAGTGTACAGGGTTTTTAAAAGTTTACAGTAGTATACAGTAATGTTCTAGGCCTTCACATTCACTCACCACTCACTCACTGACCCACACACAGCAACTTCCAGGCCTGCCAGTTCCATTCATGGTTAGTACCCTATATAGGTGTACCATTTTTTAATATTTTATACTGTACTTTAACTGTACCTTTTTAATGTTTATATACACAAATACCACTGTGTTACAATTGCCTGCAGCATTCAGTATAGTAACATGCTGTACAGGTTTGTAGTCTAGGAACAATAATATCATATAGCTTAGCTCAGGTGTACGGTAGACTATTTCGTCTAGGTTTGTGTAAGTACATCCTATCATGTTTGCACATCAAAATCTATGTATCAATGATGCATTTCTCAGAAAACATCATGTCATTAAGTAACACCTGACTATATTTCAAAATAACTAGAAAATTCAAAATGTTCCTAATACGAAGAAATAATAAGTGTTTGAAGTGAATATCCTCAATACCCTGATTTGATCATTACATATTGTATGCATCAAAATATCACATGTACCTCATAAATACATATAATTATGTATCAATAAAAATTAATCTAAACAAATCCTTGTTGATAAGTCTGTATGTATATCCAAGACTGTATATCCTTATGTATATATATCCTTAAAATACATTTCCAGAAATGAATATGCTACATTAGCCAATGTAAATATTTCTAAGTCCCATGTTGCATATCGTCAAACTGCCTCCAGAAATATTGTACCAATAAATATGGGATTCATAACAGTATATTAATATACTCAAACCCCACAACTGAGTAGCATTTGTTTTTAATACTCCGTGAATTTGTTAAAACAAAAAGTGTATCTAACAGTTGTTCTAAACCACAATTTTCTGAAAACAAATTAGGCCAAATATTGTTTCACGTTTTATTGGTCACGTTGTATTTCTTCAGTATCAGATCCTTAACTTCTTCCTTTTGAGTTTTATTTCATTACATCTCTTTTCTATCGTATATATCACAGAAAAGTTCTTTTTTCAAACTGTCATTTGATTTTTCAGTTGGGTTTTTTTTTTTGAAACGGGGTCTCCCTCTGTCGCCCAGGCAGGAGGGCAGTGGCGCGATCTCTGCTCACTGCAAGCTCCACCTCCTGGGTTCACGCCATTGTCCTGCCTCAGCCTCTGGAGTAGCTGGGACTACAGGCGCCCGCCACCACGCCCCGTAATTTTCTGTATTTTTAGTAGAGACGGGGTTTCACCGTGTTAGCCAGGATGGTCTCCATTTCTTGACCTCGTGATCCGCCCGCCTCGGCTTCCCAAAGTGCTGGGATTACAGGCGTGAGCCACTGCGCCCGGCGTGATTTTTCAGTTTTTAAGGTATTTGGAAACATAAATTTTAGTGTCTTTTGGTAGAGATAGCTATCAATTATTTTTTGTGAATATTTCAGAAAGCTCCCACAATCCCGAGTGTTTAAGTATTTGTGTATATATATTTACTTCTCTTATAATTTCAATTTTATATTTAATGTTTAACCATCTTGGAACTGTATTTTCTATAACAACTAGCTACTTTTTTTGAAAACTTACTGAATTATTGAACCACTCCTCATTTAGAATTTCATATGCTAAATTTTTTCATGTACTGAAAGAATTACAGTGTTTTCTCTTGTGCTTTATTGATCTATCAATTGTTTTGCAGGTCCCCTGCCATGCTAACTCAGAATTATCACATTTTGGAAATATTTTGCCCACTCATCTCCCTTTTTTTCTTTCATACTAAAATTAGAATCATCTTAAATTCAACTTACAAATACAGTTTTAACTGACAATTTTATTCACTCATCCCATAAAGGTACATAATTCCTCATGTATGAATCAGCCTTTTCTCATAAAAATTTCTAAATCATTTTTGTTGTCTTGTATATTTGTTATTAAACTCATTCCTATATTTCATATTTCTACAGCTATTGTGAATACTTTTTCTATTATGCTTTCAAATTAATTATTAGTACTTATGTGTATGTAGTACTACCAATTTTATACATATTCATTTTGTAGCTGTTCACAAAATCATATGAATGTGCCATGCATTATTCCAGTGAGAAAGTCTATGAAAGTAATAGGTTCTCAGACAGACATATACATTCACAAAAGCTTAAACACTGCTGCTTTAAGTGTAAGTTTTCTCAGTGACTGTCTAGCAGGTTCACCATTATTTATCCTTATGTGTAAGCAGTTGTCCTGGACACCAAAACCAACTCCAAACTCAGTAAGTCTGCACTAAGTCTCCAAAGCCACACACTGGATAAGTTTCATAACAAGTGGCTTTTTCCTGTCCCTAGATGATCAGTTTTAAATTACAGTCTTCTGAGGTAAATCTTCATATTTTCAGGCCATTGTCTCTGTAACCATAGGAAAAAGACAACAGACTTTTCTAGACATATTAGATCTCAAAATTTACTCTCATTTACATGGTCTTTACGTATTTAGGTGTGGAAATAACAAATGCACTTTCCAATTTCATCCTTTCTAGATACCTGATCAAGTCATGTTTTCTAGCCCCTTCTCAGCTGGAACATGATGATTGCCATGTTCAACTTAGTAGGGTTTATATTGCAAGATTGGGCTTGAATGAAATCCAGGTAACTTAGCCTTTATCTATCAACAATCTGATTCTTTTTTTCTCAGTTTTTATCTAACACCATATTCTTAATCAAGAAAAGATCTCAAACCCCTAATGTAATAATTCATAGAACTTACACCACTTTCTCTCTTAGTTTTCTTCAATATTTGTGACATGTATTTTAGAAAAGTAATACAAGGGTAATAAACAACTACATGACATGTGCTTTATATCTTTATTGACTCCTTAATAGCTACTACAAGCTCACTTGTGAGTCATACCTGATGTACATTAAATAAGTCACAATTCTGAACCACATTTATAGAAACTTGAATTCCTAGTAAATATAATAATTGAGGATCTTAAAGCTCAACAAATCAGGCCTTCCAATTTTTCAGATGAGGAAATTAAGGCCTGAAGATATGAAGTGACTTACCCCGAAGTAAAAGATCTAGTTAGTAATAGAGCTGAGATTGAGATCCATGACTTCTAAAACCCAGAAACATGCTCTCTCCACTAAACCATGTGATCATTCTAAGCAGTCAACAGTTTTTATGATCCTCCTTCTGTTTCCCTGGGAAGGGTCTCCATATTAACCAAATTCTTAAGGCATTCAGAGAATTTCTCTCCAGCGTGAAGTTTTTATTGTTGTAAAAAAGAAGAGTTTTGTCTAATGGTTTCCCCACACTCAGTATGTATACTTGATTTCTCTTCATTATGAATTTTTTGGTGTTTTGTAAGATATGTGCTCTGGCTAAAGGCTTTCCCACATTCATTACATTCATAGGGTTTCTCTTCAGTATGCATTTTCTGATGTTTTTTAAGGTCTGTCCTCTGCCTAAAGGCTTTGCCACATTTACTGCATTCATAAGGTTTTTCTACAGTATGAATGACCTGATGTTGAATAAGACCAGAGCAGTAACTGAATGCCTTTCTACATTTATTACATTTATAGGATTTTTCACTAGTATGAGTTTTCTGGTGATTTTTGAGGTGTGTACTCTGACTGAATGCTTTTCCACATTCAGTACATTTATAGGTATTTTCTCCAGTGTGATTTATCTGATGTTGAACAAGTGCTAACCGATCACTGAAGGCTTTTCCACATTCAGTGCATTTATAGGGCTTCTTTCGGGTATGATTTCTCTTATGTTGAATTAGGGGTGAACAGAAACTGAAAGGTTTCCCACAGTCATTACATTCACAGGGCTTCTCTCCAGTGTGAGTTCTCTGAATATGTCCTGGGCGGTCACTAAAAGCTTTTCCACATTCATTACATTTGTAGGGTTTTTCTCCAGTATGAACCCTCGTATGCTGTGTAAGGAATGAACTCTGGCTGAAAGTTTTCTCACATTCATTGCATTTATATGGTTTCTCTCCTGTATGACTTCTCCGATGTTGAGTAAGGTATGTGCTTCTGCTAAAGGCTTTTCCACATTGCTTACATTCATAAGGCTTTTCTCCTGTATGTGTTCTTTGATGTCGAATAACAGCTGAATAGTTACCAAAGGCTTTCTCACATTCATTACAGTCATAGGGCTTTTCTCCAGTGTGAGTTCTATGATGCTGAATAAGGGCTGAATAATCACTAAAGGCATTCCCACATTCATTGCATTGGCATGGTTTCTCTCCAGTGTGCATTCTCTGATGTTGAAAGAGGTCCGAACAGTAACTGAAAGCTTTCCCACAGTCATGACATTCATAGGGTTTCTCTGCAGTATGGACAATATGATGTTGAATAAGAGCTGAGTGATCATGGAAGGCTTTCTCACATTCATTACATTCATAGGGTTTTTCTCCTGTATGCATTCTTTGATGCTGAGTAAGATGTGCACTCTGACTAAAGGACCTACCACATTCATTGCATTCATAAGGTTTCTCTCCAGTATGGATTCTCTGATGTAGAGTAAGATGTGTGTTCTGATTAAAAGCCTTGCCACATTCAAGACATTTACAGGGCTTCTCACTGGTGTGAATTCTTTGATGCTGAGTAAGGTGTATACTACGACTGAATGTCTTGCCACATTCAGTACACTCATAAGGTCTCTCTCCACTGTGAATTCTCTGATGTTGAATTAAGAACTGAGCAATAAATGAAGGCCTTCCCACACTTCCTGCATTTGTAGGGCTTTTCTCCTATATGAGTTTTCTGAAGATTTCTTAAGTAGGAACTCTGATTAAATCCCTTTCCACATTCAGTAGATTTATAGGGTCTCTCTCTCCACAATGAGTTCTTTGATGCTGAACAAGACACGGCCTCTGAAGGTTCTCCCATATTCACTATATTTACAAGGGTTTTTTTCCATCATACTTTCTTTGTATAATTAAATCTGAGTTTTGTTTGTGTGTCTTTCAACACGTACCATATTTATGACAATTCTATAGGATCTCTCTGCTCTGTAACAAGTATTGATCTTATAGTAAAAATTCTCACAAATTCATTAGATTCTACATCTCTTTCTCTGGTAGGAATTTTTGTGCAGGTAGCTATCTCCTACCCTAGATTATTCCCCTTGTTTAGCTGCTGATTCTTAAACTGGCCTCTAGATTTCCAGATTTCTTCTGGTATAGACTTTCTCTTTGCAAGTTCTTCCATCTCTAATCCTTGAGATTAATCTTCTTTTGAAATGTCCTGCTGCTCTACTCTTGATGTCTTGGCCCCAGGTTCAAGCTTCCCATCTAAAAGACATAAAAATATGACTCTACTATGCGCCAAATGTTGGGAGAAAAGAAGCTGCTATATTAGGAATGGAATAATGAAATTGCAGATACTGAGAACATAAAATACTGGGACTATAAATACTGGGACTATAAGATAGTAATCAAGGGAGGAGTGAGAAGGAAATACTAGTGGTGTGAAAGTGCCTGATACAGGGAATGAAGCAAACATTCTGTCAGGTGAGAAGAATGATTAGGGAAAAAACTAAATGGTGAATATTAGAAAAGAGAAACAATTATCAGGGATTAAGAAATGAAAACTGTTATCAGAGAGAAATGGTCTTACAGAAATTATCCTATGAGAAAACTACTTACTCAGCATTGAAACTATTATCTTAAAAAATACTAACAGCTTTTTATTTTCAATAAGCTTTTATATTAGATTTTTTAGTACTTGTACAAAGTAATACTTTTAGCTAATTATTCTTCGTCAAGTAAATGCTAATGTTATTGCTTTATACTTGGTATAAAAAGAGCGTAAACTCTAGGTTTAAGGACAAAGGAAAGGATGAAAAGGGGGAAATTTACTCTTTTGAAATGAAAAAATAATTATTAGGTCTTTCTAATGACAAATCTACATTATTTTTCACTTTCAGTCATGGATAAAGAGGCAAGTAACATAAAGCATAGGGAAAAAAGGATAGCTCTTCTTTTTATACACCAGCATATTAAAAAGTGGTCCTTCAGTCTGGATTCATACTTCAGAGACAGTTAATATACTAATATGATGACTGAAAATTGTTTGTAAGGTCATGATTTATAATGGGTTCCATTGCAGGACGACTGAGAAGGGACCTGGCTGATTTATTAGAGGATGCCCAAATAGTGGCACCTATAGTTCTTTTATCTTAGGTTGGTTAATTTCCCCAGAATGGATCACTTTAACCTTCTACCTGAAACGGGGTAGGATATAGAAATCAAGTAGAAGGAAAAATTGAGGTGAGAGTCTCTCCATTCAATATGTAGATTTTTACTAAACCACCTGTTTTCAATGTGTCCCCTAGATTCTGGCATATATTACACATAAAAATTAATGATTTTATTAGCTGCACTCCTAACATCCAACACTCATTTCTCGTTTTAACTCTAATTTATTTATTATCATAAAAAGAAATTTAAAAAAAGCAAAAACAAAAGCAAAAACAAAAATAATAACAACAAACAATACTTTATTATTGCTTCTCCTGTGCAAAAAGCCCTTTCTTCCTTCTTTAGCCCATCTAATTCTTGACACTACTTTGGAGTGTCACTCAAATGACACTAGTTCCACAACATTCCTTACTCTCCAGTTTCCCTGATTTCCTACAACTTACTATTTTAACTTGTAATTTTAGCACTTAATAGCAGTGCTGCACATTGTTTATCTATTTTCTCCTGTCTGCACATGTAGTCTTCAGAGTTATCATTTCACGTCTTAGAAAAAATGGAAAGAACTTTGATGAAGTTTTTGGTTTATAGCTAATATTAATTGAGTTTATGCTAGGCTGACTCACAATATCAACATATCAAATCTTTAAAGAAAACCACACCAAGCAGAGGAAATAGCAAGTGTGAAGTCACCATCATGACGGGGGAATAGGGAGGAAGAGAGATTGAAAGAAGGCCACTGTGAATAGAGCAAAGAAGGTATACATGAAGAATGGGGGAAGAACTGAGGCTGAAAATTAGAGTCCAGTCACATGAGGCTCACAGGCCATGCAAAAAGTGTGGCATCTTTATCCTGACAGCATTAGGAAGCCATTTAAGAGTCATAAGCAAAAAGGTGACAAATTCAAATTTGAGAGCTGCAAAAGACACTTTCAGCAGTAGGTGGAATAAGTAGAAGTAGAACGACCAAAATGGACGTGAAAAAATATTTGTGTGGATGCTCCAGGAATCTAGCCAAGAAATGATGAGGACATGGATTAAAAATAAAGTGAGTAAAGACAGAAAGAAGTGATAGATTTGAAATATATTTAGGAAATAAATTTGACAAGGTTTGATGGCAAACTGAAAACGCAGATGAAGAGAAAGGGATTATAAAGGTGAATTTCTGGACTCTGGCTAGAGTGGCTAAATGGATGGAGTGCCACTGTGGATTTTGTCTGATTAATGCAGAAATAATTAAGAAAGTTCTGGATGAAGGGAAATCATACCAGATAGAAATTCTGATTCCCAAAAAGAAATACAGAGCATTTAGAAATAATTGGGCAAATTAAAATTTGTTTTTAAAAGTTTGCTTTTATCTTTTTTTTTTTCTCTTTTTCTCTTTTGAGACAGGGTTTTCTCTGTCATCCTGGCTGGAGTGCAGTGGCACAGTCTTGGCTCACTGCAACCTCTGACCCTGGGTTCAAGTGATCCTCCCACCTCAGCCACCCAAGTAGCTGGGAACACAGGCATGCACCACTAGGCCTAGGTATTTTTTTTTTTAAGTTTTAGTAGAGACAGGGTTTCATCATGTTGGCTAGGCTGGTCTTGAATTCCTGAATTCAAGCCATCCACCTGCCTTGGTCTCCCAAAGTCCTGGGATTACAGACGTGAGCCACCACACCTGGCTGCTTTTGTCTTTATTTCTTTATAATATATATAACTATTTAAAGAAAAAAAATAACATTTTCTTGAACAACTTATAACATATGTAGATGTAACACAAAGAACAACAAGCAGAACAAAAAGAACAAGGCGTCATAATTGAACACATATCGTTGTCAGGCTTCCACGTTTTTTGTGAAGTGACACATTAAATGTAGAAAGATTGTGAAGAAGTAATGATATATATTGTAATCCCTAGAGCAACTACTAAAAACATAGTTTAAAAGTCTGTAAGAAAATTCAAGATTTTTAAGAGAAAACCTTAAAATTCAGCCAGATGAAGATTAAAATTAATATAGCAAATTAAGTTTTCCACAGAAGTGTTAGGGACTGCCAAGATTATCGAGGGGGCATTGTGAGGTTAGAGATCAAAAACTTTTAATTGTTTTAAATCATTCAATACTTATTCAACATAAGTTTAATGAGTACTATATGCTAAATACTCTAGGCACAGGTGATTTAACGTGAAAGAGACTAAAAAACAAAACAAAACAGAAAGAAAAGAAAAACTCTGCCTACATAGAGCATACTCCATAGTAAGAAAGACAAACAATAGACTTGCTACATAAATACATTGTATATTATGTATTAGTCTGTTGCTGCATTGCTATAAAGAACTACCCGAGACCAGGTAATGTATAAAGAAAATAAGTTTAATTGACTCACCATTTCACAGGCTGCACAGGAAGCACACCTGGGGAGGCCTCAGGAAACTTACAATCATGATGGAAGGTGAAGGGGAAGCAGGCGCGCCTTACATGGCTGGAAAAGGAGGAAAAGAGAGAGAGAGGGGAGGTGCCACACACTTTTGAATAACCAGATCTCGTGAGAACCCACTTACTATCAAAAGAACAGCAAGGGGGATGTCTGCCCCCATGATCCAGCACCTCCCATCAGGCCTCTCCTCCAACACTGGGGATTATAATTCAACATGAAAGTTGGAGGGGCGGGAACTCTACCCTCCCAGGAACAGCTGCAGCTGCCCAGCTGTGGCTGCGGACCTGGGCATCCCTGTGCTCTTGTGGGTCCTGGAAGCCCTGTCCCCAACAAGCTCCAAAGTGCCTGCTCCTGCTGCTTAGCATCTCCCTGGTCGTGGCATCCACTCTGATTTTACAGCAAAGTTGAGGCTGAGCCTGGGCGCAGTCATAACCTGACCAGGTGTGCACATGCTCAGAGCAGCGCTGACATGCCAGCCCCTGCCACCTTGCCCCCCTCCAGACTTTGAGCACTGAAAAGCATGGGAAGGAGGCTGAAGCCGGGTTGACGGTGGCTAAGTGTGGGCCTTCAGGCCCAGCATGAACAGCCTGGGCACCATGGAGGACATGATTGGTGGTGGCAGGAGGCAGACAGGCTCCTGGGTGGAAAGGGGTGGGTCCCCAGTGAAGCCCCACTTTCAAGTCAGGGATGGCCTAAAGCATGGGGGCTGGGCTGTCAGTTCTGGGTGCAGTCCACAGCCTGGCAGGGAGTGAGAACTTTTGGTGCTTTTTCCACCCACCTGTGATCACCCATGGACCAATTGGCATGCACTTCCTCCCTTCTGAGCTCATATAAACCTCAGACTCAGTCAGATTCAAACAGACATTGGGAGGACCTGCCTGCAGAAAGGAGCTACCCACTGCAGGTCTCCTCTCTGCTGACAGCTGGACACTCATCGAGACAACCTGTCTGCGGAAAGAAGCCACCCACTTTGGGTCTCCTGAGAGCTGTTCTGTCACTCAGTGAAGCTCCTCTCCCACTTCTTCACCCTCCAGTTGTCCAGATACCTTATTCTTCCTGAATACGGACCAAGCGTGGGCCAAAAACTTGGGACCTGCCAAATGGAAGGACTGAAAAAGCTGTAACACAAACAGGGTTGAAACATGGCTCCCTGCTTGCCATGTTGCGGGCAATGAGAAGAAGAGCTGCAGACCTTAAGTGAGCCTAAATCTAGAGGCTCCCTGAGCCAGCACTATGACACCCTCTTTGAGGCTCTGTGGCTCCTGGCATCTCCAAGCTTCCAGAAGTCATTGAGTTTCCCTTGTCCAGACATGGGTGCCCACAGTGGAGGTACTTCCACTGCATGCGGTACATCTGTTCCAGCTGCAG